CATTGTCGGGGAAGGCTTGTGAAGTGTCTGCCGACTTATGACGTCATGACCGGTGTACCCTCTCCGGAGCTGGGATAGTTTTTGGACACGAAAACCTTGCCACCTGTGGGTCTTTGTACAACTGGTACAACGTGTGCCACCTGTGGGTCTTTGTACAACTGGTACAACGTGTGCCACCTGTGGGTCTTTGTACAACTGGTACAACGTGTGCCGCCTCTTCAGGTTCCCAGACTTGAGCAGGTTCCCAGACCTGAACAAGTTCCCCTTGAACAAAGTTAGACTTTGAGTTGGCTAAGAATAAAGTTGGCCCAGTATTTCTGAATTAAAAAATATATTTTAAAATTTTTAATTTTTTTTTTTTTTTTATATACTATGATCTTCATTTTTTGTTGTTTTCACTAGCTGTGTGTCGTGCAGGTATAGACTACCAGATACTAGTAAAATTGGATCAAAAATTTTTAGAGTATATTTCTGAATTAAAAAATATATTTTAAAATTTTTAATTTTTTTTTTTTTTTTTATATACTATGATCTTCATTTTTTGTTGTATTCACTAGCTGTGTGTCGTGCAGGTATAGACTACCAGATACTAGTAAAATTGGATCAAACATTTTTAGAGTTAACCCAGTGGCGTAGCTGGGGTTGATGTCACCCGGTGCGGTCCGCACCCCCACACCCACCAAGTTACGCCAATGAGTTGACCTTAATTGTAGTTTCAAGATATCAATAACTTCTTTAAATAAATAATCTTTGTTTTTTTTTGTTTTTTTTTAATGATTTGAAATTCTACAAAAACATGTCGGTCTATTTGATGTAGTTGACACAAGATTCAGAATCGGAGCATAATCTAAACTCTAAAACACTAATATTTTTTTAAAAATTAAACAAAGCGTTGATAATGGAAATGATCAACATTGGTGTACACATTTATGCCGGTACACATTTATGCCGGTACACATTTATGCCGGGTACACATTTATGCCGGTACACATTTATGCCGGTACACATTTAGCAGTTTCATCATCAATTTCGCGTATATCACCAATCACATTTTCTGCATCTTTTTAATATTTTAATAGTCCAAGTTTTGTCGTATTCGCACCCCCGCCTTCGCTGGTACTGGGAATTGAACCAAAAAAAATGACGTCATAAATCAGGGTAAAGATAACCACTTTGCAGTGACCTTCTCGAGGAACACGAATTTACGCTCGAAAATTATCCCGATAGCAAATGCTAATGGTGACGTCACAATCCACTTTTGGGGGGGGGGAGGGGAGGGAGGGGGGGGGGGGGGGGCGTTGGCTGGAAACTAGGTAGACAATAAAGAAACATCGCTATCGGAGCCGGCGGGCGAAATAACCACTTTGCAGTGACCTTCTCGAGGAACACGAATTTACGCTCGAAAATTATCCCGATAGCAAATGCTAATGGTGACGTCACAATCCACTTTTGGGGGGGGGGAGGGGAGGGAGGGGGGTGGAGGGGGGCGTTGGCTAGAAACTAGGTAGACAATAAAGAAACATCGCTATCGGAGCCGGCGGGCGATCGCTCGGATTTCAGGGTATCTTTGAAGGAGTCGAGAGGTCAGGGGTCAGAGGTGGGAGCGTCGCGGTCTGCAGGGCGGTGTGCAGAGATCGGAGTCAGGACGGACGGACACAGACACGCGTGACGTCTGCCGCACGACTCCGATACGGCCCGTATGACGTCACGTGTTGCATCTTATTTTTTAACGAGGGCAACAGTGGGGTTGAATACGCCGTCCATGAAATCAGTAGTTCTTGCCCAGGGGTACCCCCCGCCCCCAGGGGTACGGAAGGCAGGGGCAGGGTCTGCGTGAAGCAGTACTATGCAGGGGGTGGCTGGAAGCAGTGCCAAGGGAGGGGGGTGGGTGCTGGAATCAGAACTATGCAGTGGGGTTGCCTGATGCAGGACCAGAGTGTTGCGGTAAGACCCATAAATTATTTCTCCATTGCTGGTAGTTGCGGCCTTTTTCAACAAAAAAAAAAAATCAAGTTTCTTTGTTCGTATCATTAGCGGCAGGAGTTGTTCTTGTGGGGAACTTTGTGCATGATTGGTGCCTGCCCATTTCTTGTGTTCCTTTCCAGCAAGTTATTTAGAGAAGGAAAAATATCATAATTGAATTAGTTTCCCATTGATTTATTTAAGTACATTACTTTTCATCGGGGAGTGGGGGTGGTGGGGGGGTGAGAAATGTTCTGATATTGAGAGGGGGGTGAATCGCAGCAAAAAGTCTGAGAGCCCCTGGTTTAAATTTTAAAAAAAGGTGTCAACTATTTCAACTGAATGCCGAGTGCTTTATTTTTGTAAGGGTGGGTTGAATTGTGTCGAGGGCAGAGGAGTTACTTGTTGAGGGCAGATGGGTTACCTGTTGAGGCACATGGGTTACCTGTCGAGGGCAGATGGGTTACATGTTGAGGGCAGATGGATTACCTGTTGAGGGCATATGGATTACCTGTTGAGGGCAAATGGTTTACCTGTTGAGGGCAAATGGGTTACCTGTTGAGGGCAGATTGGTTACCTGTTGAGGGCAGATGGGTTACCTGTTGAGGGCACATGGGTTACCTGTCTGGTATCATTAAACTGGTATTAAAAAAAACCTTTTTAAAGAACATCTCGAAATGACATGGCTGTAAATTACAATTATCATCATCTAGCCATCCATAAATATGTACGTTTAAAAAAAAAATAGAATACAAACTGCGAGATGACCTGGAGAATAACTGACACAAACATGTTTTTCATTCGAAGTGCCGGTTAGTTAGTTGACAAGAAATTCACCTTCCGATGCGCTGGTTATTCTCCCAATGTCCTATGGCAGTGGATAGTTTGCCAAGACTCTTGAAATCTTCATCTGATATCCATTAATTGTTGTATGAAAGTTTTCAGAGAATTTGAACGAAGTAGATTCAAATTGAATAATTTGGGTTTTTTCCTTGAATCCAGTAACAGGGTTAATTTTAGGAAGGTCAGAAGATTATTATATACAATTTCAAGAGTAATTTGTGTCCATGTTCAAGGAAGTAAAAAAAAAAAAATCATTGACACGTTTTGCTTTGACTAGCTGATCACCACGTCACGTGACACTTTGTCAATCTCAGGGAGCGTAACTCTGTTTGGAACCCCCCCCCCCAACCAAAAACAAAATGTGATGGTATTTCCTTAAACAGAAGCGTCAGGGCAAACAGAAAGACAGGGTTACGGGCCCTATTTCCTGTTTGCTATCAAATCAAAGAGAGTTGTTGTTGTGTTTTTTTTACATACGGAAAAATGAGGAGAGATGAAAACACCACCACCCCCCCCCCCCCTTCCCCCAAAACCACCACCATCAAATCATTTTAAATTCATTTTGTGGAATAAAAGTGAGAACAATGAGGTCGGATTGTTTTTTCCAAGCCTCGGGAATCGAACATTTCCTTAATTTGCCCGGTCTCTTTTTTTTTTTTTTCTTTAATCTTTGTTGAATACATTTTTAAATTAACTAGTGAATCAATAGATTTTTTTAGAGTAGTCGTGTTTTAAATGTTTTAAATGGATGTATTCGATTCTGACTTGAAACAGAGTCATTTATCTCACTATTTACAGGTTTATTAATTGGCTGGTGAACTTCTTTTTTTAAATTTTCCCCGTTTGTAAAAAAATTTTTTAGTTAAATAAAGTTGTTTTTGTTTTTAAAATAAAAATAAAAGTGTTTGCGTATTTAAATTCCTTTCGCATTCCGATCTCAAGAAGATAGCTGAATCCTGTAACTTGACATATTAAATTATTAGTTCATTGTTGTGTGTGTGTGTGTGTAAAGTTTAATTTATAAAGGAATTTTCGTTTTTTAATGGGAAATAAAAGGGGAATTTAGAAAATCAGAGTCTAGGAAGGGAGTACTTAAATAAAGAGAATGTTGAGTAGAGAGAAGGTACAAATTCTCCAGGCCTTGTCAAGTTAAGCGTTTCTAGGGCATGACGTAGTTTGGACATAGGCACTGGTCCATCTGGTCGGCTTAAAGGTGTGGAGTAGACAGATATTTTGCTGGAGCTGAACTCCACCTGCAGCTCGTGGACTTCACATTTAGCCATATATGGGTTTACGTTAAGTTTGGGGAAACACGTGAACGGTGATAAGATTGACTTTCCGGATAATTGTATTGATCACACTGAATGGACCTACCATGTAGTGATACATTATACATACCATGTAGTGATACATTATACATACCATGTAGTGATACATTATACATACAATGTAGTGATACATTATACATACAATGTAGTGATACATTATACATACAATGTAGTGATACATTATACATACAATGTAGTGATACATTATACATACTATGTAGTGATACATTATACATACAATGTGGTGATACATTATACATACTATGTAGTGATACATTAAACATACAATGTAGTGATACATTAAACCATACAATGTAGTGATACATTATACATACAATGTAGTGATACATTATACATACAATGTAGTGATACATTATGCATACAATGTAGTGATACATTATACATAAAATGTAGTGATACATTAAACATACAATGTAGTGATACATTAAACATACAATGTAGTGATGCATTATACATACAAAGTAGTGATGCATTATACATACAGAGTAGTAATACATTATACATACAGTGTTGTGATACTTAAGATTGACCTAATCGTAAAGTCAACTATTTATTTTAAGCTCTTTTTCTTTTTGTATCTTCAAATTTGAGAACCTTTCTCCAAAGAAGAAATCTAACGAATCCTTAACTTCAATAGCAGCCCCGACCCACCCCCATCCCTCTCTCTCTCTCTCTTTCTGTCTCTATTTCTCCTTTTCTATCTTTATCTCACCTCAGATTCTTATTTTCCAGCACTTGATTTTAAACAAATCTTAAAATATACAAGGGATACTACAAATGAATAGAAATGTTTTAAATATGTTCACATTTGTATCGATACGATCTCCTTATGAAATCTTGTTTTCTTTTTATTCCACCACCCCCCCCCCCGGGACAGGTTACGGACATGTCGCCCCCAAGACGCCGGAAGGACGCATCGTCACCATTGGTTACGCCGTCATAGGAATTCCCCTCACCCTTCTCTGCCTCACGAACATCGGTGACGTCATGGCCACAGGTTTCCGCCTGCTCTACGGCAAGGTCTGCTGCGGCGTCTGCTGCACCCTCTTCAAGCCCCGGCGGCGGCGCATACCCGTCGACCTGGAGAAGGGGCTCGGCCAGCCGCTGGTCACCACCGAGGAGGAGCAGCCCGACAAGCCGAAGGAGGTCATCCACGTGCCGACGTCGCTGTGCCTGCTGCTCATCGCCGCGTACATCTTCGCCGGTGCGATGCTGTTCTCGATGTGGGAGAGCTGGGACATCCTGACCGGGTCCTACTTCTGCTTCATCACCCTCAGCACCATCGGGTTCGGCGACATCGTGCCCGGAATGGACAGCAACGCGTGGGCGCACGAGGAGAAGCTGGTGCTGTGCGCGCTGTACCTGGTGCTCGGCCTGTCGCTCATAGCCATGTGCTTCAACCTGGTGCAGGAGGACGTGAAAGCCAAGTGCCGGTGGCTCGGGATGAAACTCGGGATTGTGGAAAAACCCGAAGCGCCGATATAAGAGCGCGTGGTGCGCAAGAACGAATGTTTGGCGCGCAAACAATATAAGTCCGTCCTAAGTAGAAATGTAAGTGGGTACTTTATGAACGAAACAAAATTGAGGGATAATGATCGGTCTTTTCGTGAAGATTTTATGGGCGGCAGCCATTAAGGAGAATGATAAGCAGGATGGATACAAGGTTGATTATCAGGATGAATATCAGGACGATGATCATGATGATTATCAGGATGCCGTGTATCCCCCGGCTAGATCCATGTTGAGTATTAAGATCACGTGACCAAACGTTAGCAGCAATTAATTTGTAACAAGATGCGTCTCCATTCATAATAAGCGAACCGTGGAGTCCATCAGACGGCTTCTGGTTGAGTTTTCAGGGTATCTTTAGCCCCCCTACACCGGACAGACGTATTTTGATGGTGTAACATTTGGCCTAAGTCCTTCGTAAATAATTTTAATGCCACTGTGTACACACAAAAAATACATACTTGTGTCATGAAGGCGTACCTCACAGTTTATATGGTTACAGCTCGGCACAGTGGCGGATCCTGAAAAGCAGACGCGTTTGGGCACCATGTGAAATTTCAGGGATGTGTGTCGCTTGCCTTGTGCCTACCGTTGATAAGGTAGACCGTGTCATTTGCTTGCCTTGTGCCTACCGTTGATAAGGTAGACCGTGTAATTTATAAAACTAATATGTTGATATTTTCTTTATGGCCAAACGTTCTCCTATACGCAACATCTACGGTGGCGTAATCGATTAAAAAAACAACCCACACATACACCGAGAAGGAAGATAATAGCCACTTACATAGAAAAGGAAGGTAACAGCCACATACACCGAGAAGGAAGCGTTTTCTTGGGCTACGAACATCAATACAGAGATTTAAGCTTAGAATATTTGTAATCGTTTGTGACACTACAACGATTGGGCAACCCAATGGGCCCATTGACCGTTTCGCCAATATAGAGTATCCAGTCCTGTGGATATCAGAACAAAGGAAACTGGATGTAAATTTGCAAATGCTTTATCTTAGCATTTCCCTATCACAATCACAGAACCACACCCCCCCCCCGCCCGACCCCCAAACACTTATTATAATAGTTAAACCATTTGTGCATTGCCGCGTTCAGCTGATATGTTCATAGATTGATATTTAAGATTGTGTTTGTGTTTTCTGAACAGAAAAAAAAAGTATCAATGTTGCCATTGTGAGTACATTTGCATGAGCTCATCCACTTGGCGTGACATCACATGAAGACATGTCAAATCATGCTATGTAGTAATACTGTATGAAACTATCATATAATTACATCGAATCTCACATTTCACCTATGAAAAAAATACTGTATGAAACTAAAATATAATTAATTCACATAATTACGTCATATAATACATCGAATCTCATATTTCACCTATGAAAAAAATCATGCTATGTAGTAATACTGTATGAAACTAAAATATAATTAATTCACATAATTACGTCATATAATGACATCGAATCTCATATTTCACCAATAAAAAAAAATCCCAACAGTAGCCAAATCCATTTAGAAATTTGAACATTAAATGTCTGAAATGTCCAAATGTTCAGATAACTAAAATGTTCAAACTTTTGTTCGAAATGTTTATCATTGTTTGACTTATCATTAACAATGCAACATCTGTGGTAACACACAGTATATTTATGGGTAGCAGGGCATCTGGATAGCAGCGCATCTGGGTAGCCGGGCATCTGTGCAGCAGGGCATCTGGTCAGCTAGGCATCTGGGTAACCGAGCAGCTGCGTAGCCGGGCAGATGGCTAGCGGGGGAGATGGCTAGCCGGGCAGATGGCTAGCCGGGCAGGGCAGTTGATGCATAGTCAAGAAAGCTGGCCGGAACTCAATTTTTACATCAATTTCCTAAAGATGTTATGAGCATGGGAAATTTTTCTCAGATGATAGCCAATACGTGGATTAGATCTAAGAGGTGATAGATACCTTACAATCCCAACATGATTAGATCTTAAAATTGGGGTCGATGTAACGAATTTTCTGAGATGGTTTGCGGTCGCATTTGAAAATGCTTTGCTGTGGCTACGCTACACCCACACATAAATCATAGTGACTGCGCCATGCAGCAATGACTTCATTGTGATTACAGGGTGAACTGGGAATTCCAGCCACCACTTCATATTCGATGGCATGGCCTACCTCCCCCCCCCCCTTTTTTTCCATCCACAGTAAATTAACATATCACGTCATTTACCCTTTTTGGCCGTAACATCCACGTTAAACTTGAGAGGTGTGTGTGCATGTGTGTGTCGAGGGGAGTGCGTGTTTGTGTCTGTGTAATCCAAACACGACTTTGAGAAGCGATTATGATGAGGTACAATATTTGACTAAGTGTTTGGGATCTGGTTTTGGAAACGTCTTAATGTAACCAGACTATAATCCCGTGGCTAGCTACAGACTTATGCTATAATCCCCTGGCTAGGTACAGACTTATGCCATAATCCAGTGTCTAGCTATAGACTTATGCCATACTCCAGTGGCTAGCTACAGACTTATGCTATAATCCATTGGCTAGGTTCAGACGTATGCTATAATCCCTTGGCTGGCTACAGACTTATGCTATAATCCCTTGGCCAGCAACAGACTTCTACTCTGGTTACTCTTGTTTGATCTTGTCTCTTGTTCCGAGGATGGACCTGACCACATAAGTGTAGGGCCGGGTGGGTCATGGTCAGTAAGTTAACCCTAGATTATTCAGTCAGTTTTACTTTCCATTAAATGGATTTATGGATATATGGATATATTTTGTATGATGTAATATTTACTGCGACCCATTTGCTGCAAGGGGCAGTCTTATTTAACAATATGTCATTGGATATTTAAGATATTACAAATGTTCATCATATCTTTATTTGACTATGTGCTACGAGACTCGACGTTCGAACTTGTTTAGTTCACTATGTGCTACGAGACTCGACGTTCGAACTTGTTTAGTTGACTATGTGCTACGAGACTCGACGTTCGAACTTGTTTAGTTGACTATGTGCTACGAGACTCGACGTTCGAACTTGTTTAGTTGACTATGTGCTACGAGACTCGACGTTCGAACTTGTTTAGTTGACTATGTGCTACGAGACTCGACGTTCGAACTTGTTTAGTTGACTATGTGCTACGAGACTCGACGTTCGAACTTGTTTAGTTGACTATGTGCTACGAGACTCGACGTTCGAACTTGTTTAGTTGACTA